ATTCTATGATTCTATGATTCTGTTTCTCTGCTTTGGTGGTGCCTTGCTCCCCGGGCAAAACCAGGGAAGAAGCAGACATGCTCCCAGATTCACTCTGTGGGAGTGAACAGCCTCTTCTCCCACAGTGGGGAGACATTTGTCCACTACCCGGGTCCGGGCTGGGGTGAATTGCAGTGAACAGTCCAAGTGCCAGAACATGCTGCTTGCTTGTCCAGCAGCAGATAGTGAGGTTAATTATTCTGCTCAGTTTTAGCCCATCATGCTCCAAAGGGGGAATACACTTCACTGGGCAGCAGGGGGGGAGGGAAACAAAGCTGACCGGCTTGTGTAAAAGAAAAGTCTGTTCCTTTAATCTATTTGAAAGCTTTTGGTACATCAAAGTCCTGGCAAGAAGAGGTATCTCTGAGATAATTGGTGTGGACACTCGCAAAGGGTTTGATAAAGACTTTTGTTGAAAGAGCTATTCGTGAGAAGCCAAGAAGGGTCATGGGTTAGGCACTAGCCAAGAAACAAAAACACCGAAAGCAGGATGAGGACTGGGCAAACACCACAGGGCTCCACACCCCTTGCAGCAGCACCCCCAGCCCCAGGGCTACTCCCCACACACCGCAGACAAGGTGCCCCCCGGCAGCAAAGCCCGACTGAGGGTAACAGGGATTGCCAAGGGGAACCAAAGCTGAGGAAACAGGAAAGGGTCCCCCCAAGAACACAGCCTGGGTGGGGCTCCCTGGGAGGAAGGGGGAGGTGGTTGTGAAAACCAGGTAATTGCAGATCAGCTGTCACCTCTTGAAGAGAGAACCCAGCTAGGGCTGTGGGCAGCTCACCACAATCCTCCAGCGCGGGTTGCAACTGTATATCACCCCCGTGAAATTCCTACACAAATGAAAAACAGAATTGGATAAAGAACAGGAGAGAAAATAGCAGGGAACTGTGTCCAAATGCTCAGATAGGAAAAAAGAGGAAGCATTGCTGTCTCTCACCTACTCCCAAAGGACACATAAAATAGAGGGGAGCATTTCTGAGATGGCAAAGTAGGAGGGTTAGGATCAGAGTCTAGCTAGAATTGGAATTATTTTAATTTCTAGATGAAGTGAGTAAAAAGCAACATAATGGCAGCATACAAAATAACAAATGGCACAAAGAAGGTACATATAAGTACTCCTATTTACACTTTTCACATAAAAAGAGAACAAAGGGACAGTCAATAAACAAAAGTGGCAGCACACGTACAAGGATAAGTGAAATACTGTTGTTCTAATGCACTGTGCATAATCACACCGGGATCTCGCTGTTCCAAAATATTGCTGAAATTGAAGATGCAGAGAGACTTGCAAGAAAGGGACAGAAATGTACCTGAAATAAAAGAACATTTGCAGCTATATTCACTATATGTGAGTTACATTAGCAACGAGCAATAATATGGGTTTTTAAGAAATTCTCATGCAAATAAGAATAAATGGGAGGGGGGGCAAAGATCCCCATGGTCAAATTACTCCAAAAATTGCCTTCTAAGGAATGCCTTTTTCCTCCTTCCTTTGAAGCATTTACATTGGCTGCTGGCAGAAAAGAGAGACTGGAAAGGGCAAACTACTTCTTATTCCCTCTGGATCCCTCCTGCAGCCGGGCCAGAACATCTTCTCGCTCACTCCATACCTGTGCCATCGGGGAGTTTCACCCTTCCACCCCTGCAGCCACCTTGCCACTGGAGCATCCAGCAGGGCCAGCTCTGAGTGCTGGTGCCACCAGCCTTGCTCTCTGCAGCCACATCCTTGAAGACTATCTTAGTTTTGGAGTCTCTAGCTTCAGAGGCTACCAAATGGCATCATCTGAAAGCCTAAGCCCAGCTGCCCAGGCTGGTGTGCAGCTGCAATGGGTGCTGGATGCCTGGGAAAAGGCAGCTGCTCGGGCGGGTGCTGCATCCCAGCTTGGTTGTTCCTTGGCTACGAGGAACATTTCACATCCTCAGCCATATTTGACTGAGGGAGGTAAAAATAATCTTTTTTTTTTTTCCATTGACATGCAGTGACACCTCCCCTATTCGTCATGGAAATGAACTGAAATTAATCTTGGTAACAATTCTGCCCAGTGATGGGAATGCACGTATTAGTGATACACATCAGCACACCTTCGGGAGTGATGCTACCTGGATAAATATCAGTGAAAGTCAGCCATGCGGAGGTGGGGTGGGAAATGACTTGAGAGTGCACCCCTGAATTTAAATAGAACTGACAATTGCAAAACTGCAGTTGTGGAAACTTTCCTTTTCGTGGCCTCCCTCAATCTGAGGTAGATCATATTTGAGGCAAGAAGCCCAAGCCTTGACTGTGCCCACAGAATTAAAATGAAAAAATCAAAGTCATCTCACCTTGATCTCCCTCTCTGTGAGGTTTGTGTCCTTACACTCAGGTGAGAGCATGAACCATCCTTCCCCTGGGTGCCGTGCGTTCCCAAAGGACGACATGATTAGGGGACTAGAGGGTGAGTCTTATGAAGAGAGGCTCAGGGGGCTGAGGCTGCTCAGACTGGAGAAGAGGAGGCTGAGGGGAGACCCTATTGCTCTCTACAACTCCCTGAAAGGCAGCTGTAGCGACACGGGTGTTGGTGTCTTCTCCCTGGTGAATAGCGACAGGACAAGAGGGAACGAGTTCAAGTTGCGCCAGGGGAAGTTTAGATGGGATATTAGGAAACACTTCTTCACCGAAATGGTGGTGAAGCACTGGAATGGGTTGCCGAGGGAGGTGATGGAGTCACCATCCCTGGACGTGTTTAAAAAACGACTGGATGTGGCACTTCAGGAGATGGTTGTGTTAGCGTGGTGTAGGGCTGTGGGTTGGACTTGGTGACCTTAAGGTCCTTTCCACCCTTCATGATTCTATGATCCCAGTGCCCCACTGCCTCGGTGCTCCACTGCAGCCTGCCCTCGCCATCAGCTCGCCCTGCCTCACAGGCACATCTGGCATATTCCTCCATCAGCAGTGACAGGTAGCAGGGTGCTGTCTTCCCCCTCTCTCTGCCACCCCAGCTTCAAACTTGCTGCCTTCTGCAGGAGATGTGGTGGTCTGAAGCTCCCCCCGCCTCCCTCCCCCTGCAGCTGATCCACAGCCTGTCACGGTCACAACTTTAATGTCCCACACATTGGGACCTGCAGAAGACAGACAGCCTTTCCCACACGGAGCTGAAAGCATGAGGTGGATACAAAAAAAGCCTTATTTTTTGTTGTTTGTTGGTTGGGGTTTTTTTAAGACTTTATTTCTCTAACATGCTTGACCAAAAATTACAACGACAATCAAGTTATGCCAAAATGATTAAATAATCTTTAAGCTTTCATTCCTCGAGTACTTTAAATGATATCTTGACATAACAGCTGCTTTTTTAACCTTTCCACATAAAAATACACAGTATTTTGAAGATACCTTAGGAAAAATTATTTTTAAGAGAATAGTTTATGGTTGAAATAGAAACTTTGCTGAGGCTAATAAAAGGACCTCTTCCCCCTACATTAACATTTTAGTCTCTTAAGTGCCATGAGCTAATGTAAACATTTCAGACTTTTAATGTACAGCCAATTTCCTGCCACATTTGTGGCAAATCGCTTGAATTGTGACCAGCTAAGACACTTTTATTCTAACTACACGCTATTGCTCATCTTCCCAATGATGGTGGGAGTTCATATTCAACTACGAATTTCAGTCCTTGCTGATTTAGGAGCTGATCCTGCAATTTCGACACCAATAGTTTTGACAAAAGTGGCCCCATCTGAATTCACGGCAGACTGCTCATGTGCTTGTGAACTATTCACCGAAAGCCCACTTGCAGGCATCACCAATTGTTTTGGGTTTAATTCCAGGCAAAAGCAGCACAGCAAGTTTAGGCCCCGAGTCACCCAACAGCTTACAAGAAACAACAGACCTGAGGCTTTTCACGTTTTCTGGGGGGTCCACAGCACCAGTTAAATTACCGAGCTCTAAGGCTGCTGCTGCCCTTGGGAAGTCAGTGCGATATTTCTGCCCACCTTGCCTAGAGTTGAGGCTGACATAGCCTGGTTTTGCGACACCGCTTTTTCAAACTGTGTATGTGCATAATGTGCATGCAGTTGCTACGCGAAGCTCACATTTACATCCATCTATCAGGCAAAGGGTAACATACACAATCATGGAACGCCTGCGCGCAGATGCGGGCTACGCACAGACCTGCCAACAACTCCATAGTGGTAGTGCGATGATGTGCTCAACCCATGGGAACAAGATTAATGTCTAGATGCCATCAGCCCCAATTCAGGATGTCCACTTTCTGAATGCAGCAGTTAAATTACCTCCATTAAGGCCAAAAGGCTTCTCTTTGAGGATGGAGATGTTTGCTAGTTCAAGGCAGAAACCCATGTATTGTAGGGCTCGCTCGAAGCACTTTTTTTTTGGTGCATTTGTAATCTGATCTCAAGCTTCTGCCTAGGACGGGACTGAAATCCCAGCAGCTTCCACACCTCTGTCAACCTGCGGGAAAGCCACATGGGCAGCACCATGGCAGCTGGCCATCCGGACCAGCTCCGGAGACATCCCCTGCTTGGCCTGGCATCACACGCAGCGTGGCAGATGAATTTCAACTCAGTTGATTATTTTGTCTTGGGCTGCCCTCAGCAGTGTCCATGAGTAGGTAAACAGCCATGATGGGTTCTGTGAGGCGACCCCTGTTCTGTACCCGTCGGTGTGTACTCACTCGTTACTCATCGCACCGACGCTGCTACGGAGCTACCCAAAAGCAAACAGCCAAATTCCACCTTGGGATGATCCCTCCCCCTTGACATCCATAATGCTCCCCAAGGACAGAATGATCATGATGACATTCAATCACTTCTGACTGCGGCCAAATTCAAACCAGTAACCTCATCGTTGGCTGCATGTCCCATTAACAGGTTTTAAACAAATAGTCCCAGAGGGTTTTATTTGAAATACCACTACTGAACTGGGTGAGGATTTCATGGGGTATATTTGTTTGTTTGTTTTTTACATACAATCACATATCGCCTTACCATATGAAAACACAGTTACATTTTTTCTTCCTTTTATTTTCTCTTTTTAAGGGAAATGTCATCTTTTTTTCACAGGCGAGGCCAGGTTATGAATTCCTGAGTTTATACTGCACTTAATGCAGTCTCCCTTCTCGAATGTTGAGCTGTTTACAGCATGCTGGCAATATGCACCATTTCCCTTACCATCTGTAATGCCAGATGTAGCAAAAACTTCATTTCAGTACAGTGAATTAGGGGCCCTATTGCATTGAGTTTGAAGAGATGCAAAGACTTAGACCTGGAGGACTTCAAGTAAGAGCTTTCCTCCTGAGTCTGGTCATTCGTGCACCAGCTTTTATATTTGCCATGTTAATTAAGGGAAAACGTCCTTACCATCATTTTTCTTTAACCAAGAGCTCACTGGGAAACATGGAAATCCTAGTCTAAATATTTAAGCTTAAACTGCAAACTTTCTTAAAGAAACACTCCTTTGAAAGACATTGTTCTTTTAATAAGTCCAATATAATGTACGGTATATACAAAAGTCCCTACTTGAGAGAGAGAGATATATATGTATATGTATATATATATATGTGGAATGCATTCACTTTTCTGTGTTCACAAATATTTTAATGGTGAAATGTTAAAGTCTTTAATCTGTTTCTGGCACCAAAATGTCTTTGTTCCTCATCCACTTTCGAAATTTATCTGTGAAGAGCTAGCAGGGAAAAAAGAAGTATTTTGCTTTTTTGTTGAATGGTTCCCTATTGGGATTCTCAGCCAGCAATATAAAGTTGCTAATGTGTTGGGTACAACTTTAAATCCTCATTATAATCATGTGTTCCTTGGAGTAGGTAAGTCAATAACTATAGGTGGATTAAGCGGCTGGTAATTCACAGTGCACACAGATGCATTCACATAGGTAGTAGTTCCATCAGCCATGACACCATAACCTACGAAGAAAGAAAAACTCTAGTTACTCTCATTATTCCTCATTACCTTCTTTTTAATTATTCACCTTTATCACACAACGTTAAGTGCCACATTTATTACTCAGAACGATTTTAAAAATTCTCTTCACACAAAACATAAAGGTCTCCTGAACTAATACCAGCTTTGTCCTACAGTAGAACTACTTGCCATCTTTTAAATTTTGTAAGAAAAGCAAAAGTGACCCTTACTAGCTGGTGGCTATCACCTCTGGCAGCCAGCTAACCAAACCTCCTTAGAAAGACAGGTATTTTTCTCCTCAAAGCTTTTTTCTTAAAACCTTCTCAGTTTTGGAAGAGATCAGAAGGCAGAGCTTAAGCAATTGCAGCACTGAAAAAACCACACTTCTCATCATTTAGGTTTGCAGTTGTCAGTGTGAAGAAAAAGCATTACTTGACTAAGGGGAGTAGGTATGCATGTGTACCTGCATGGGATTTGTCTAGCAGGAACTTCTTCTTGCTATATAAGGGGCCGGTTAGCTCAGTCGGTTAGAGCGTGGTGCTGATAACACCAAGGTTGCGGCTTTGATCTCCGTTAGGTCCCCATGTGTTGCCTGATCTAGTTGAGAGGCGTCCCTGCCCATGACAGGGATGTTGGATTAAATGATCTCTAAGGTCCCTTCCAGCCTAGGCCAGTCTATGATTCTATATGTTTGAACTTGCTGACCGAATTTGATGAAGAGACACTAAAGGGCCTGCTCAGGCAGAAAAAAAATGGCTTTATTAATGCACTCTCTGACAGCCAAGGTGAATTCACACCCTAAGACACTATGACATTTCCGTGGGGAAACTCTTTTGTACTTCTCACAGGCGGCAAAAAAGGTTTAACTACATCTCATGTCTGACTGGACACCCAAGCAACACAATTCCAGATATAAATCTGCAGAACATCAACCTTCCAGCTCTAATGTCTGTAGAAATACAGTGAAATGCTGTTTCAGAAAGTGAAGAAGAAGCCCTTTAACTGCCCTAGTATTATAAAAAGTAGGCACACTCGCCATTGTCAACATTTTTTTCATGAATGACTAGGAATAAAACATAAGCTTGATAACACTAATACTAAAAGCTTCATGTTGGAAACTTGCACTGAAATACTATGATCAATACGAAGAAATGCATTCACCATCAGAAATACAGGCTTTGGTGGAAATCACCCAGTAGAAAGCATTTGTGTATTAAGATTCAATCTCACCATTAATGAAGGTAATAGTGAAACGTATTCACTGCTACAAACGCTGAGATTCAGCTATTCAAATCTGCGGTGCTGAGAATCCTACGGTTTTTCTGAGTGCAATTTTGACTCTTATAGTTGCATAATTTACAAACAAAGAAACAGTAGTCAAATTAATTTCTTTTTTTTTCCTGAGAATACCCTGAATAATGCAGGGCCTCCTGGACTCCCCACGGAAAAAAACACATTATAATTAGGGACTAGGGAGGAAAGAAAACTCTGTCAGGTTCCTGTCACTGACATTTCTTTACATCATTCGCTGTTTGCCACAGAACAATTGTTCTGTGTAAAACACAAACTGCACAGAGGACAGTGAGCATTGCTGCTGGGACTTTCTGTCTCCTCAGCTACACATCTGGAGAGAAGAGAATCAGCTTGTTAATAGTCTCTTTTTGCTGGAAGATTCCTAACACCACAGTTTTCACTCCTACCCTGCTGCCAACAGAGTTTCCTTGGCCATGACCTCAGCCCAGCACTGGCCACAATGGGCAAATCAGGATTTTAGCCCGGGTCCCTGCCAGGTTGCTTGTCAGTTCCACAGGTTGATCAGCAGCAAGCCCATGTGTAGAGGTATTTTTTGGCAGAGGCGGCAGTGCAGTGGGGGAATAGGGAAGAAACATCCCTTCTAAGCATCTCTTCCTCCTGGACACTTGGTAAATGACTACTGCAGATGTAGCTATGCTCAGTCAGGGGAAGAACTCATCTGTTCAAATCATGCATTCTCTTTACAAAGAGCAGTTTCGTTTGCACAGGCTGTCTGCAGTGGGAATTCTCTGCAGAGATTTAGCATCCCACTGCAAAACAGGCTATGCAGTTCCCCACTTGTTTTCTCTAAATTACGACAGTTAACAAGAAGACTACCTCGTTTCTGTGTTCTGATACCTATTGTGCCAACTGCATTAATTTGCAAGATTTACCATTCTGTGGAGGTGCCACTCTTTTCCCTTGGGAGCTAAAGTTGGGCTTGGTCTTTAGCAGATGTGATTTTGTTTACCTGCCTAAAGCTTCGTGGCTTGCTAATTGTTTGCTTATACCCCCTGCAACCCATCTGACATACAATTTCTGAAAAGACAGTAAGCTTTTTTCGCCAGCTTTCTTGTATGGAATCCCACAGACTGCTCTAATAGGAAGAGATACAACCTATGTATTGCTTGCTTACTCCATGAGTTAACAGCACTTTGGACATTAACCAGGCATTAACGGGTCACTTCAGATGAGAAATGAGGAGAATGGATTTAATCCTTGAGCTGTAAAATAACTATCTGAATGTCTTCTCCATCAATTTTACACCAGTACACCTCTAAGCAATGTTCCTGCTAATTTAGCATGGTGAAAGCAAGTCAGAGCGGGAGACCTTGGGAAGGGTAATCGTTCTTCACAAAAACAGAAGTATCTGAAAGCCAGCTACTCCAGTTTTTCCATTTGTTCATTTCTGCACTCATAAGACCCACAGAGATCCTACATCAAAGGCTAGAGCAGTCCCTGAAGCAGAAAACTGACAATTGTGGAGTCCCTTTTCCTGCCAGCAAGTTAACATTGACAAGAATTAAGTAGCTGATAATCCCAGCAGGTACGCTTCTGCACAGCCCAGTGGTTTCTTCTGGTGGGGGCACTGCTAGAAGTCTTACTGCCATGGTATGTGAATGGGACAGACTTCTCTATAGCAGATAGCATCTATATCTACCATCCCCTTTGCCTGGAGGAGAACTCCTGCTGTCAGTAACTTCAGTACAGCATATTCGTCACTATTATTTCCAGTTAAAAATCAAAAAGACAAGAGATGCACTGTGTTTTGTCTGGGTACAAAATGTCTCCCCTGACAAAGCAAACAAATACATGAATAAATATCTTAACTACACAAGTCAGTAGTAACATCCCTCTTGATTTCACCTTCATATATACAGTGATGGAGAGAGGCAATCTTTTTTGCACCATTTTGAAGATTATGTCTTAGAATCATGCCTCAAAGCATTCTTACCCATCTTAGAAGCACAGAAAACGAGATGCAGAGAGCTTACATGAATTATCTTAAGTCACAGAGATTCAGCAGAGGAAAATACAATCCATCAATCCTAATATTTAGTCACCTTCTGTAACTACTGGACTCGTGTTCTTATTTTAAAATTCACAGTATGAGTCTCTGCAGAAACTAAAAGAGAAGCTGAAGTACAAATATTGAAATGTGGGTATCAGTCAATTTAATCTCTACAGATGCAGCTAAATAAGTATAAGAATTCCAGAAGCACTTCAGTTCAGACATTCAAGTTTGAAAATGCTAGTTAAATCAGATAACTTCTGTGTTTGTGGTTTCTAAATATATATAGAAAGAAATGTGTTCTGACCTTCATGGATATGTCCAAAAACATGAAGCCTTGGCTGTATTCGTCTCTGGACTGTGTTCAGCAGCTCAACACATCCTACCCGTTGCATTTTCTTAGGAACCCAGTCTAGAAAACCTTTGGAAAAGAAAGGAAAGCTTTAAAAGAAGACAGGGTATCTTCAAAGCTGTACTGCTATACAGCATTTCTGAGAGTTCATGTCTCATGGCTTCTCCTAAGCAGCCCTAGAAGACTTGACACAGAAAAAAGTGCTTGCCTTGGTAAGCACAAGAGGAAGGAAACATACTTGAGGAAAACCATAAAAGCTCATCTGAAGAAGGACTATGGTAACTCCTGCCAGTTGTTTTTCAAGGAAAAAAAAAATCACTTCAATTAAATGATTTTGCCCTCCTGTCAGTGGGAAAACTCAGTGCTTTATCCATTCTTCCTTTAAGAGAGTGAGGTATAAAGAGAGGCTATATCCAAAATGAGTCTCTAAAGATTTTAAATAAACACTTAGCTATTTAAATCTAGACCTGGGATCTAGTTTTTTTTAATTGAACACTTTTACTCATGCAATGGAGTCTGTGTTGCTAATACTAAAACGCCATTGTTATCACATCAAATCTTACAGTAGTGGAACTCAGGTGAGGAACCCACAGCACACGTGAAAACACCACCCTCATGTAAAACTAGTTTCATGACACAGCAAACCCCACTAGGCTAAATCTATGGACCTCAGACTGGAAGAGAAACTCAGCCCTTCTGCAGCAGATGTTTTTAAGTGTTATATTTACTTCCACTAAGTTTGTATAAAAAAGCATTTTTTCTAAATGCAGACAAAAATGTATACCAACTTGCTTATATACCTAAAAACATACTGCAGCGGGAGGCTTACTGCCAAGTGAAGTCTAATGTTTCCTTCAAAGTAGTAGTATAAGAAGTAGTATTAGCTGTATTAGAGGGTTTGCAACAACCAAACTTGTTTTATTTCTGTTTTTCTGCTACTTTCATCAGGCTCAAATTTTGAAACATAAAAGATATACTCATCCTATTTTTCTTTAGTTTTTCTGGTACTTTCCCTGTGTGCTCGTCACAGCTTTCTATCTCTCAGATTGCTGTGATAGTGGGAATACATAGAACCTTGAGAAAACAGGCGTCAGCCAGAGGGGTACAGAGTCTGAACCTAGTTTTCACGTGTTTACTTTTGACGTTCACTCAGGCGTGGCTAAATAGCAGCTAACCAACTGGCTTAAAAGACCAGAACTGTGGTATTCAAGTTCTTGGGAAGGCTCTCAAATTTGCTAGAGCTTCAGGGTATGTTCACACATTGAGCCACACCTCTTTAGATGCCAGTGGTTGAAAACTGCACTCGGTATACCATGGGGTTTTATGAAAATGGTAAAAATTTGCCCTGGTTTTGTAGCTACTCAGAGAGCTAAGTCCAATTTGCAGAAATGGGTTGAGAATGTGGCATCTTAAGTGTCAAAAAGAGGAAGTTCTGATAATGGCCATAGATTCCTAATTCATTCAGATGCCCCTGAAGATGCTGCATGACTGCTGTCATGGTGGTGTACAAAGAGAAAGCTCCGCTGAATTACAGACTGCATAGAGCAATGCTCAGTTCTGGTAACTGATTTTACCAGTGGCTCTTGGCCAACACAGGTCAAAATTCACCGCAGAAAATAGTAAGTGCTTAAGATGTCAAACTGAGGCCAGCAACTCCTCTGGAATCCAGCCATGCTTTTTTTTCAGAGCAAACGCGTTTATAACCATAGGTTTTGCTACTTCAGTGTTTTGAAACAGTTAATTGTCAAAATGTCTGTGGTGAACATAAAGCCAAAAGTATTTCCACTTCAAAAACTTCACAAACAAAAATCCATAAAATTAACTTCTCCATTAAATTAAGCATTATTTATGTTGAACATGTTTTTGTTTACATGCATTATCACCCTTCTGAAGCTTTCCCATATGTTTGCAGCTTATTATGTACACCTGACTACACAAACTAAGAATAATTGATTACACCTAGCTAACAATTAGAGTTCATCTTAGGGTTTTTTTAATGTTTGGTTACTTGAAACAGGTTTCTGCAGCTGTCAGGGAAGTATAAATCTTTGTCATAGACAATCAAGCAGACAGCTACAAATGAAGACTTAAAGGTGAAATTAAATTTAAAAAAAACACCGAAAAGCAAATTTTCTGAAGAGAAATAGGAATCATACAGATCTTTAGAAAGCAAGGGAAATACTTTAAAAGTTATACTATACATAAAAGTAACAAAAAAAAAGGTGATACAAAAATGAGCATTTGCACTGATTCCACAATCATGAATACTACATTTCTTAAGCTACAAAATGCACGGCACATGTTTATTCATAATAAACAGGTTACTAAAATGGTCAATAATAGCTGTTTTAAACTTTCTTTTCTCATCCTGTGTAAACCCATTTAATCTCAAAGCACTACTCTAAAACAGAGAAGAAAAATTAGATTTTTATTATGTGCCTAACTGACTTGGTAAAAACAAATTCCATTAACTCTTAGTGGTACTTTTGCATCTAAATCAGGCAGGGAATTTCAAATCTATCTAATAATGTAGTATTAATTAGTTTAGGAGGATGTGCACTCTTTTGAAGTGTTTTTGAAGAATTTAGGCAGCCACGCTGGAGAAAAAAGAGGAATTTGCAAGAGCACTGATTGCTATTTGTGATCATTAGGAACAGCTTTACTGACGCTGTCCAAGATCAGAACAACAGCAACTGGCTTTTTGGTTAAAATAATTGGCCAGGAGGGTCAAGGAGGATCCTGTCTTAAAAAATGTCTGTGGGCAGAGCTACACAATAAGGAGGCTCTGTAAGGTAGGCAGAGTGCTAATTTCTTTTGAAGCATCATATACTTGCTGCCATGGGTGTCAGGGAAACCAACAGCTGATGCCCTCAGGCCGACAGTTCCATGCCTGAGCCATCTATTAATGCATCAGTAAGAAAAAAACAAAGACACAGGAACTTTCAAACAAGAAAATCCTTGGAGAACGGTTGAAGCTTAAGAATTCAAAAAAAGAGAACCAATACTGAGACATGGAGATGGGGAGAATTCACATTACCCCATTCCCAGTCAGTGGAGATGGGTGTCTCTTCCTCAGAAATGCTACAACTATTAAATAACTTTTCAGTTACTAAATTTACTATTAAATTTATTCTTAAAGCATGTCTGTTGAATGCCAGCTCTGCAGCACTCTCTTGAGGTTCTCCTCCCTCTGCTGATCCCAGAGGCTGCCTGGAGAGGCCTGGAGGCTAAATCAGTGTCTGAAGCTGGGTGGTGCCAACTCCTCTGCACTTTCCAACACTGGATTTCACGTGCTGGACACGGAGAAACTCTTTGGATCAGCCAGAGGTTAGACTTCTTTACAGCTGATCAGATGGTTTGAAAAATGGCTTCAAAGGCGCTGAAAAAGCTTCTGAAAAAGTTTTTAATATGACTTATAAATAAAACCATGTCAAATACCCAGCATGATGCCTTAGATCCTAACAGGGATTTTCCCCAGTACTAACCATTTGGAGATGGTATCTCAAGGTCTAAACAATTCATTTGTGCCATCCACTTTTACGACACAGGTCCGTACTAAAATCAGTCTATGGCATGGCATGAGACTCCACTTAGGTGAAGTATCAAAGCACACGCCCTTACTGTGAGAAACCGTGCTCACAAAGAAGCCCTTGCCCCCAGGATTAGTGAGCAGTGGAATGCAAACACGTCTTTCTAAAGAAAACAACGAAACACAAACCCTTTAGATACTTTCTCCTCCAAGCTCTGAAAGAGGAGAAGAAAGGATGGAAGACAAGAGGGCTTTTAGCTTCAGGAAACTGGGGAATCTAAAGGTTTAAAGAAACCAACTGCCTTCATTTCACACAAAGCACTCCTCCACACTAAGACTCAGCAGAAAAACTCATTGAAAAAACATGTTAAAAGACACAAGCCTTTACTGCATCTGACAAGTTTCTGTAATTATATTATTTCCATAACACAGTATTATCTAGGACTTCAGGAAATCTCTCCTGGCTTTTATATCATCTATATTAATATTTCTAAAGCAAAAATAGAAAACTATTTCTTGTTGGTCTTTTATTGTTGCTAGACTGTATTACAGACAGGCAGTTCACTCTCACTGTCCAAAGAACAGGCAAACAATGGCAGCATTTGGGTTTGTGAGGCAGAACATGCACCAAGTCAGCATGAACAGGAAAAATAGACTCTGGGTATCTGTTAGCAGGGGAATGTTACTGCAAGTGATGGAGAGACAGTATTAAAAAAAAATAAGATTCCAACCCTGCATTTCTCTTCAAGTGGGATTCATGTTTTAAATCTACTAATTTCAACAGTGACAGAGTGGACAAATGCCCCTCGTGACATGGCAAGGAACAATGGTTTTAAACTACGAGAGGGTAGGTTTAGATTGGATACAGGGAAGGAATTTTTTACAGTGAGGGTGGTGAAGCACTGGAACAGGTTGCCCAGAGAGGTGGTGGAGGCCTTATCCCTGGAGACATTCAAGGTCAGGCTGGATGGGGCTCTGAGCATGTTAAAGATGTCCCAGCTCACTGCAGAGGGGGTGGACTAGATGACCTGTAAAGGTCCCTTCCAACGCAATGCATTTCATGATAGGAGAACCAGATCTTCCTTATTTATAAAGCTCAGTAAGGCCTTATTTTTTTAAGTCATTATTTAATTCCCTAACATCAAGCATAGGTAATCATGAAACATAATCCTGAGCTGTCCCAGTGCTGCTGAAATCAGTACAGATGTTATTTTTGACTTCTGTAAGTCAGGACTGCACTCCTTCTGTAAGGAGAGGCATCACTTACTGTATAGTCACCTGAAATACACAGCTAAGAGGACTAGTATTTTCTTACCGAGAGGTGGTCCATGTGTTATAAGAATATCTATTCCATCTGGAATAAGGTTCCATTTCTCTAATAGTGCTTGGCCTCGTGGAAGATTAAAGCCCCAGCCATAAAACCAAGGTTGCCTGCCAAGAGAGGAGGAGAATGTCTTCAGTACTACTTTCATGTACTGGTTATCTAATTAAAATACGGAGATTGACTCTCTACTAGCATGGAATTTGGAGACACAAATAGCATTCATTTTCTTCTTTGTGTGCACAGTAAAACCCTCCTTCCATACAACCAGCATTATTTAACTTGCGTGGCAAATCAGTGCAGTCCTTCCCACTTTCAGTAGGCAGCATACAGCGAAATATTCACAGTATTCCTCTAACTAGCTGAAAAGCAACTCTTAGAAGACCTGGATACCAAGATCTCCATCTGTGGATTAGCATGCTTGACTCCTACAACATCTAGAAGAACACCTGTCTCAGATACCTAGGTGTGGATATATGTTTCACATTGGCTCTTGTCACGTTTGGCCCTGAGCTTACGACCAGCTGGGCAAGGACAGACCCTGGCATGACGACAGATCCTGTTCCAAAGTCAGAGACAACATCTATGCTGCTTTGTTTCCCTAATTGGAAGCATCCCATCAGAACAAGAACTGCTTCTTTTCTTACACATAATTTTTTTCTGGCCTCTGGTGTGTTGACTTGCTTTTAAGTAAGACTTTCCATATTCAGGATTTCTTATCAGACAGGCATTTACATTTTTTAAAACATATTTATGGAGCAGCTCATCATGGAGCAGTGGGACTATAACACTGCCAGTCAGAACACAATTTATCCATATCTTGCTGTCCCATTGATTAAAAAAACTGTATTTCATAGCAATTATATCACAGTGGTAAATTATGTCTTGCTGACTATGCTCTAATTCTAGGTCAAAAAACTGAGGGGTTAGTTTTAGGTTGAAATTTTTAAACAATTTTTTGACTGACGTCTTCTGGCCATATCCATATTTGGAGAACAGCAAATAGGCTGCTGTGATTTAATAAGGTTTATGGTAATTGCAGCCTTAGCATTTAAATACACACACATCAACCAGAGTTCCCTTTGAGATGTTACTTTGTTGAAGAAAGCTTTACACTCCCTCACCGCATCAAAAGACAGAAAGAATTCTTTCAAACAAATTCTCTGATCTCCACTTTACAACATGTATGGCAAAGACAAAAGAAATGCCCATAAAGCTATTATTCATCATCTTCCATTACTGATGCTTGACTAACATTTCAAAAATTAGCACGTCTTCATGATGATATATTTTCCACTTTTCCTTTTGGAATGCAATAAGACACGTGCCTATTGAAAACAGCTTTAAAAATACAGAGTTCGCTAAAATATAAAGGGATGTGGCTTACCCAAGGAAAGAAAATTCTAGTAAAAGGAACGGAAAAAGGGGGCTTTGCAGAAGGTTTCCTGCTTTTCTCCCACAGATGGAAAGAGTCTCAACTATTTCAAACAGATGACAGAAAGGCTTTCTGCGTCCACAGCTAAGAGCTCATCTCCTAGCTCTTCACCACATGCCCTGGATAACCAGGGCATGGATAAACAGGTGTCCCAGGGGAAAAAGAAAAAAAAAAAAACTTTGTACATCTGCCATTGGGACCAGAAATATATCCCAGCCTCCAGAAACTGTGATGAGGGAGGTGAAGAATGTGTGTGAAGAAGAGATGCTAATAGAAGTAGCAATGAAGCAGAAACCTTGTTCTGAGTCAGGTTGCTCAGACCAAGGTGGCTGGCTAAGAAAAAGACCTATCCCTGTATCAGGGATATGAAATCACAGTTTTCTGATTACCTGTTCAACTCCTAGCAACCTTTCCTCATAGGAAGAGCAGCACCTGGCCCACTGGTCTATGACTTCTCAGCTTCGTACTGCTGAGCTGGTAACTCCTGGTCTAGTTCGGAGGCTCAGGGCAGTCCCTACCTGAAAGGAAGTTGTAGTGAGGTGGGTCAATTCCTTCTCCAGCTGAAAAGCTGAGAAGAAAACCCAAGTAGGGGGAAAAGGAGACCTCGGAGAGATGCCCCTGCAAGACACTCATGGCAAGCCATGTCACAGACCTGTCACGACACAGCAGCTCTTATTGGGATGGAGGTCCAGGAGAGGAGGGGAGGAGCCCTGACACACCCTGGACCTGAAAGAACCCATCAGCCTCTGGATGGGTTCCTTACCTTACTATAAGGAGGCTTAGGGAAGACCTTATCCCTCCCTACAACTACCTGAGACAAGATTGTAGGGAGGTGGCTCTCTTCTCTCAAGTAACAAGCAATAAGATAAGATGAAAGGGCCTCAAGTTGCGCCAGGGGAGATTTAGATTGGCTATTAGGAAAAAATTCTTCATGGAAAAGGTTGTCTAACATTGGAACAGACTGCCCCGGGGAAGTGTCTGGTTGAGTCACCATACCTGGAGGTATTTAAAAGATGCGTAGATGTGGTACTCGGGCACATAGTTTAGTGGTGGACTTGGCAGTGATGGTTTTACGGCTGGACTTGATGATCTTAAAGGTATTTTCCAACCTAAACAATTTTATGGTTCTAATGACTAGCTTATTCGGCAGTAAGCTACCAGCCATGTTACCATGTAACACTATCACGCAGAACCAAATGCCGATCTGTGGAGCCTGATCAGCCTGTTTTTACGTTCAGCTCACCATTGACAGAATGGGAGTATTTTTATCTCACAGGAACGTCCTGAAAATAAATAAAATTAAGTCTGTGAGATGCCTGGATATTACAGAAGTGGGAGGCTTTATAAAAATATACAGAAGTTAGGCTTTTTCTGAATTCTCCCTCCGCTCTGCCTTGGGATTGCATTCTACACCTTACATGCCAAGTATTTTTCTTCACCAAGATGAAAATATTCGGTTGTTTGACAAATTGTCTTTAAGCACAGAGTAACTTTTCCAGGAGCAAAATCTCACTGACGGAAAACATTCGCAAAGGTAAAACAGGAGGCAAATGAAGTATCAGCATAGCAAATCACAGGTCCCTGCTCCCACCCATCACTCGCCCTGGTGCTGCTGGGCATGGCCAGGATAGTGCCCAGGACCAAGGTCCTCCCACTGAGGTGTGTTTGCCAGACAAAAAAAAACAGGTCCCAGCCACTCCACACCTAGGAGAAAGATCAGTATTTTCCCAAGAAGATAAGGTCAAAAACCTACAATATAATTATTTTAAGGATACAATGAAGAATTTTTGAAGAAAAATAACGTGACTGTCACAGGTCTTGCCAGAAGTCAGCTTAATCCCGCTGAAATCCAAACGACCACGTACAGCACACGCAGCTGTGAGAGTCTCTGCCTGCCTCTACTGGGGCTAGCTTGTACACGGTCACTTTTCAAAAAGCCCATTTCCCTTATGAATAGGCATGATCTGCTTATTAAGACAAGAAGCACTTTCCCGCATCCCTCCCTCCTTCCCTCCCTCC